TGCCACCCCATTCTCTTTTTGCCTTCAATCTCTCCCAGCATCAGGATCTTTTTTCAGTGAGTTGGCTCTTTGCATTAGGTGACCAAAGTATTGGGCCTTCGGCGTCAGCATCATTCCTTCTAATGAATATTCAGGGTTGATTTCATTTAGGATTAACTACTTTGATCTCCTTGCAGTCCAAGGGACTCTCAAGAGTCTTCTCTAGCACCACAGTTCAAAAGCATCAATTCTTTGGCACTCAGCCTTCTTTATGGTCCAACTCTCACGGCCGTAAACAACTACTAGAAAAACCATACTTTGACTATACAGAACTTTGTCAGCCCCTTAAGTTTTTTTTTTTTAACTCACAGTGTTCATTAAGGAAAGTTTGGAAAACATGGTGAACAAGAATGAGCAGGACATTGTAGGAATTCACAAGTACAGGAAACAATCAGTAATAGCAAGGTCTAAGACACTGTGTCTAAAAGTGGTTATGTGTATAGGCACTGAAATCACACTACTAAAACTCACATCTCACCATCATCACCAGAAATGGAAATAATAGTCATTAGAATCATTGTGAGGATCAGTGAGTTAATCTCTGTAATATTAATATTACACAGAGTAGCACAGTTATAAAGTGAAAGTGTTAGTCGCTCAGTTATGTTAGTTAGTCAGTTAGTCCGACTCTATGGGACTCCATGGACTGTAGCCCACCAGGCCCCTCTGTCCATATAATTCTCCAGGCAAGAATACTGGAGTGGGTTGCCATTCCACAACCAGATGGCAAATCATGAATCACAAGACATCCACTATATCGTGCATAAAGCTTCCTTATTCTCCCAACTGGGAGAATGTAATAATTAACTTCCAAAAACACTAGCTCTGTTTTTCTTGTAAAAAGGAAAATAGGGAAAGGGAGAAATAGATAAGGGAAAATCCAGACCATGCTGTAATCCAAAGGGAAGTCTTTCAGGTCAGAGATGGCTCTATATTGATCCTACGAGTAGACATGACTGAGAAAAAGGGACAGAGAGAATGAGAAGACAAGAACAAAGGAGTCCAGAGACACAGGTAGGCATGAATGTGAGACGTGTAGCACAGCCCTAGTTCTGTCACTAATTGCTATAGACTTTTGGGTAAGTTAGTTAATTATCATAGGCCTAAATTTATTTCCTTGTGTGAATGGAGTTTTGTGAATTATATTACAGATGATTTTATATATAGCCTATATTTCAGTCTTATTCATAGTTCTCGACCCAGGGATGGAACTTGTGTCTCCTGCAGATTCTTTACCCTCTGAGCCATCAGGGAAGCCCCAGTTCCCTGGAGTTAAAAAATTCGGAGGGAAACTGAAATATATACTGTGTCCACTAGATGGCAATAGATAGCTTTGTAAACGGAAGTCTTTCATAGACATTGAAGATGACATCATTGGAAAAGACCCTGCTGCGGGGAAAGATTGAAGGCGGGAGGAAAAGGGGACGACAGAGGATGAGATGGTTGGCAAGGATCACCGACTCAGTGGACCTGAGCTTGAGTAAACTCCAGGAGTTGGTGATGGACAGGGAGGCCTGAAGTGCTGCAGTCCATGGAGTCACAAAGAGTCAGACAAGACTGACAGACTGAACTAAATTGACTGAACAAGCAAGCAACACTTTTAAGATTCTCCAAAAACAGAGCGATGACGCTAATTTCTCATACTGAGGTCCTTATTGAGATTTATAACATAAAGAGAAATCATATATTTTTAATCCCTTTGTTTTAGACCCACAGGTATTCAAGGGTCATGTTAGGACATTCTGTTTTAACCTTTACTGCTAGAGTGGGTTATTTCATAACAATGAAGTAAACACAGAATTATTTGCATGAAGGCCAATTCTGAACTGAGCTGGAACAACACCCCAAAGATCCTTGCCCTCAGTCAAAAGTACTAAGTCAATCATTCTTAAACTTTTTCATCACAAAGAGCTTATATGTTTGCTCTTATCACATCCAAATCTTTGGGGCCCCAGAGATTGTAGGACCCCACAGACTGTAGCCCACCAGGTTCCTCTGTCCATGGGACTTTTAAGGCAAGAATACTGGAGTGAGTGGCCATTTCCTCCTCCAGGGGTTCTTGCCAACCCAGGGACTGAACTTGATTCTCTGGTATCTCCTACATTAGCAGGCAGATCTTTACCACTGAGCCACCCGGGAAACCCCTAAAGAGCCTGTGTATCCTACCACTAAAAAAGAAAAGGAAAAAGATCTATTTCCTTTTCAGCATGATACACTTTTAAAACGGTGTAAACATTACATTTTTTATAATAAGAGTAAACTACCTTTATTTTTAAAGTTATGGCTGTTCAAAAAGTTATGATAAAGAAAATGAAAACCATCTTGAAGCAGTAACAATGCTATTAAACTATTTTTGGTAGACACAGAAGAAAAAGCGATGCACCTTTTTATCCTTTTTAACTTAAAAATATTTCAAAATCTTTCCATGTTAGTAAATAAAATTATCACTAGCATTTAATAGTTCATAGATAGGTATTTACAAAATTTATAGAACATACTTTAGCTGAAATGTCTGGTCTTCTGTGACAACACTTTCACAAATTGATAGAAATGGCCCTATTTAAAGATGAATAATGATTAGGCAAGAACCTATGCAGAGGAAAGGAAGACAATAGAACATAACAGACCCTAACAAATAAGCTGAGGAAAAGACATATTAGAAAATATTTTTCTAGGAAGCAGATTAGTTCAACAAATACTCAGGCAATGAATGACCTAAAAACAGTGAAGAAATCTATGACCTCTTTGAAACAATATCTCAAGGAAGGGAGCAAAAGGAATACATTTGGAAGCAACATGGTTGACATAGAGGAAAGCTAAAAATAGAAAATAAAAAATAACAGAAAGACCAAAATTGAAACTGAGTTGAGACAAATGGCAGATATTTGTGTATTGAATTTTTTAAGATACTCTGGGATTGTAATAAATGGAACAAAAATAAATCATTATTTAAGTATTAAAAGGAAACTGAGCTGAAAATAAGGGAAAAGCTGAATCTTCAAATAAAAAACAAGTAATCTGTGAAAAACTGACACAAAGCTATTAACAATAAGATATATCTTTATGAAATTACTAGACTCAAAAATAAACAAATAAAAAAGTACTTCTAAAATAAATATCTCCAAAAGGTTAAAGTAAAAAGGATGAAAATAAATGAAATAAAAAACAATAAATGAAAATAAAAGAACAATCATCTTACTTATCAGTCAAGGTTGATGTGAAAGCAAAATAAAATTAAAATGACACTAAAGAAAGAATTTAAAGGGTATAATGTTAATGGAAACATATTATGAATCAAACAATATAGTATCAAAAATTCATAAAGCAAAATTCACCTCCCCAAACCCCAGGAAACCAGCAATAAGTAATAGTAGAGTTAACTTATCTCTCTCAGCCCAACACAGTTCAGCTACTCAAAAAATAAGACTATAGATGATCTAAATAAAATTATTGATTAGCAGGCCCTTGAACATCTTAGGACTCAGTCTATGTCATGGCATGATACTTTGTATGTCATTTAATACAAATATTGAGAAATATTTTTAAAATGCATCACTAACGGGTCTCTCATTACATACAAAGCTCTGTAGCTTTAAAAACTGGAATATGCAATTTATAACACAACTGAATACATTGACCAATAACCATGTTTTAGTTAAAAGTTACAATATGTTATTTAACACTGTCTCAAAATCAATTCAATTTTTAGAGAATCCATGACAATAAATCATCCTACTTTAAAGTGACTTCGGTAGCACACTAGATATAGATGCATGAAAGAGATCCCTGACGTTAGTTTTCTAGCTTGTCTATAGCCATCTAATAAATATTCCAGTCCTTTTTATATTCCTATCTCACACTATACTAGAAAAGAAGCTATATATTGTTACTGCATGGTAGAACTGATACTCAAACTGCTTTCAAGATGAAATATCCAGCTCCATTCTTCCTCAGAGAACAAGTTCTATTACTGTTCTAATTCTAAGATCTATAAACCATACTTATTGCCAGGTTTCTTTCCAATGGTGACAAAAGGCCATTTCTCAATCAAATACAATGTCACCTTCAGTCACGCAACAAAGTCAAAAGCTACAGGCATGTCACATCCTTGAAGTCTTGCCACCATCACCAGACTCTGTCTTGTTTCAACTCATGGAATTCAAGGCAATATGTAGTATCATCCAGAAATCAATGACTTTGATGTATCAGGTTCACTCAAAACACGATAAAGGTCAGGGAAATAATCAGTTAAACCTGGCACAGGTAGGCGCAAAGCAGAGCTTATAGAAAAGCTGTTCTTGAGAATCCAGATAACAGGGAACTCTATAGAGACAGAAACTAGCTTATTGTCTGCTTAGAGCTGGGGGCAGGGATGGAAGATGGAGGGATGGAAGTGAGAGCTATTGACTGCAGGAATGGTTTCATGTCATTGGATATCTGAAATAAATACCATTGAAATACACACTTCAGGTGGATGGGTTGTTTAGTATGTGAATTAGTCTCAAAGCTGTTTTTTATGAAAAGAGGTGAGAGAAGTTAGGTAAAGGGGGAGTCCAACAAATTTCAGTCAGGGAAGAACCTGAGACTCACACTCAGGAACAATTCAAGATAAAGTTTACCATATTTGTCACATAATCAATGTTTACATCATAAAAATCTTTTTTTCCAGAATAGCCACAAAGAGACTGTTCTTCTTTTGGGTCAAACTACTATATCTTCCTCAAAAATACTTCTTAAAGACAAGAACAAAAAGAGAAATACTCAATTTTTAATTTTTTTAAAAAAAATCTGAATTGCAGTTTGACCGAGACTAGTATCATGAACCAGGCCATATTATCTGTTTTTAGAACATGCAAATCAGTAGAACCCATATCTTATCCTTTGCTAAGACAGTTAAGCTGAATTCACTCAGATCAGAGAAAGCCCAGTCCCTGAGGTTAACAGCGCAGGCTGAGACTCACAGTTGGTGATGTCACCTTGAAGCTGCAGAATCTGAGGAGCAGGCATCGTGAGGACAATGATATCAAACTGCTCAGAAGAGCCCGTTTCCCTGGAGACTTCCCACTTGTTGTTTCTCAAATTGATCTGGGTCACACGTTGTCTGAAGCAGATATCAGCACCTGTTCCAAAAGCAAAATCATGCTCACATAATTGGGATTTTCCACATGAATAAGGGGGAAGGAGAAGTCACAAACTGGATCCATTCAGATGAGTAGAATGTGAAGTTCATCTTCTACAGCTTCCTGGGCTTCACTTTCTATCTCACGTAATGGGACTCCCTCCCTTTTGGTACTGTTAGACTTCCCTGTCATTGCGTGCTGGGGGAAAAAATACTACTACAGTTAATAACAACAGTAACCACGGTGATCTTTCCTTAATCATCTACTGTATGCCAAGGCTATGCCAAACACTAGATATACATTATACCAATTCATTTCATAGAAAAGGAAACAGATTTAGAATTGTCATGTCATTTAAATCCATATCCTTCTGACTATAAAGATCACTATCTTGGTAGAGCAAGTATACATCTTAGTAAAGGTGTTAAGGATTCTTCTCTCCGGTAATATTCTTTATTAAAAATATCAATATTCCCTATTAAACCTGAAAAAGTAACTCTGTAAGCAAAATCCAAGTCTCATCAATAGATTAATTATCTTAATTAAGAATCAAAATTAAGAAATATACAATCTGGAATATCCTCTCTTTTCCCTTCTTTGCACTTTTCATAAGTATATTTTAATAATTATTTGAGTACTTATATGATTGATATTTTATTCCCTTTTAATTTGTAAGCTCCATGAGTTTACACCTATTTTTTTCTATGCATAGCATATAGTATATAAAGACTGCACTGGGAACAGAGGTATTTAACCAATATTTGTTTAAGAGAATGAATTATGAACTGAAAGCTAGGAAAATATAATTGTATCATTAAGTCCCCTTGGTATACTAATTCTTACCTCACATTCTAGTTTTCAGAAAACTTTCATTTTAAAACAAATCTACTTTTATTTGGCCTCATGAATAGAAAGTAAATAAATGAAAATGGAATAAAGGGGAAAAAAAGGACACTAAAAGATCCTGTCCATCATTGCATGTGACATCTCATATTCCTAACTACTAAGAATTCAGCTTAAGTCCAACCTTGGCATGAAGCTCCCTTCCCGTAGCTATTCTGGCTCAGTGTGAACCTTCTCATCTCCATAATCACTGCCTTTACCACTCACTTGGACACTGATTCAAAGTATCTCTATGTTTTAGATATGTCTTGCTAAGTTGCTTCAGTCATGTCTGACTCTTAGCAATGCTATGGACTGTAGCCCACCAGGTTCCTCTGCCCATGGGATTCTCCAGGCAAGAATTCTGGAGTGGACTGCCATGCCCTCCTGCAGGGAATCTTCCCATCTCAGGGATGGAGCCTGCATCTCTTATATCTCTTGCATTGGCAGACAGGCTTTTTACCACTGGTGCCACCTGGGAAGCCCTAGACATGTCTTATCAATCCCCAAATACTCTAGGGCTCCTCCATGTCAGGTCTCTAGATCTCATACACCTTTATATCTTTCATATTCCCTTGAATAACTCTACAATATAGTAATTACAAGTTTTAAAAATCAAATGCAAATATGTTAGAGGGACCGATGCCCTCAATCTCTTTGAGGCAATTAGAGTCTTTCTGTTCAAAGAATTAGAGCAAGGGTTTGTAAATAGCATTCCAACTTGCCTGAGGGTTTCTTAAGGACCCTCTTCAGGGAAGGTGCAAATAATTGGTGCTTTGAACTCACACCCACCGTTCCCTTGACTCCAACCAGAGCGGCTCCACTTCCGTCTCTTCAGTTCCTTTAGGATGTCTTTCCCCTGACTTGGTTGCTTCACGTCTCTCTCTCTCTAGTCCTGGCCCTGATCCAGACTTCAAGTAAGTCAACTGACTTTATAAACTTTATTCAGTTGTGTTTTCACATAATACTCCCTTTGAAAACAGCATTACATTGGTTTTGCTTTTGGTGGTCAGTAGGAGGGTGTGGTTAAGAGAACTGAACTACACCAACTTTTAACAGAAATTCTTCATATCCAGTCAAACACCTTAGACATATATCCCAGTGGTCCCGGAGTGTTCTGCAAGATGAATATCAGTGGTTCTCTAGGTGTGGACCTCAGACCAGAAGCACCATGGAACTTGCTAGAAACGCAAATTCTCAGGTCCCAACTCAGACCGGAATCAGAATCTGGGGATCAGGCCTAGCAGTCTGAATTTAAGAAGCCTCCGGCTTTGTTATCATGCACATTAAAGTGTGAGAACCACGGAGTAGATAAATAGACACAAATCTAACACTGCAACTGGCAAAGCCACTCAAAAACAGTATTTTCCAAGAATTAGGGGCAGTGGCATACCTGCTCTAGCCAGGAAGTTTTCCTTTCCAATTGTGATGATTCAAGTTTCTGAGAAAGTGGCGTTTCCTTGTGAAAGTACCTAATAACTTTTGAAAGGACCACATGACCAAATCTAAGGCTCTGGAAGATCATTTTTAAACAGCCAGAAAACTACATAAAAATGTTCAGTCTGAGCTTAGTAAATGTCACCATGTCCCTGTGTTGCATATAATTTTTCAGAGGTTTCTCATTGTATTTAGGATTAAGTATAAAATCTTAATAGTGCTTACAAAGCCCTTTATGATCTGGCCCCTGCCTTACTCTTGAACTTCACCTACTGTTTTCTCCCTCATTTACTACCCTCCAGTCACAATGACCTTTTCATTCCATAAATACACCATCTTCCTCCTACTTGAGAATAGTTTCAACTTGATATGTCCATTGCATGCAATTCTCACCACTCAGCTCTTGGCCTAGTTCACTCTTGCTCACCTTTCAAGTATCTATGAAAACATTAGTTTCTTAGAGATGCTTTTCCTGACACATGTCCCCTTTCTCACTCTTTTCAGACTCACGTTAGCTTAGGTCCTATTTCTTTAGCTCACTTATTACACTCACTTTTTCTTCTTAGCATTTATCATGTGCATTTTTATGTGCATGAAATTAGCTTTTGTCTTTCCCTCCAACTATGCTCTACATTAACAAAGGTGAGGTTCAATGTGTTTTACTTATCACTGTTTCCCCAGCACATATTTCATAAAAAATTTTTTTTTAATCTTCAGATAGCCACAAAGATATCAAACTACAAAGAAATTTTAACCATTTTACAAAGGCAAATATGTTTCTGTTACGTATTTATTCAATGCCTATCCCCTGTCTTCCTCCATGTTAGAAAATGTTAGTCACAAGTGTTAGTCATGTTTGACCGTTTGTGACCCCAGGGGCTGTATCCTGCCAGGCTCCTCTGTCCATGGAATTCTCTAGGCAACAATGAAGTGGGTTGCCATTTCCTTCTCCAGGGGATCTTCCTGACTGAGGGATAGAACTGGTCTCCTGCATTGCAGGCAGATTCTTTACCGTCTGAGCCACCGGGGAAGCCCCTCCATGTTAGAGCATCTAAATTTTTCTTTCTCCAATAATTTCCTACAAACAGGTTTCAGTTCAGAACTACTGAGATGGACCAGTAAGCAGGGTCTAACTAAAAGCACGGCTTAAAGTTCACTGTGGAGTGCTTAACCAAAGTCTCAGGTTACCCTCTACCTTCTCTCTGAAAGACACTGTTATGGATGAGTGCCATGATCACCTGCCTAGGAGCCATTTTGAGACAGAACTGCCCAGACTTAATTTCCTTACATTAATGTTAGAAAGAAAATAATCACAAAAGTAAAAAGGGAGAATATGATTAAAATTAAATATTGCCAGAAAGAAGTCACACTGGCTGATAGTATCTGCAAATTAAACTATCTTTTCTAATAAATCATTTCGGTTGGCCAAAAAGCTTGTTCAGACTTTTCCATGACATCTTACAGAAAATCCCAATGAACTTTTTGGCCAAACCAATATGTTGTCCATGTTGACTTTCAATTGTTAGTCCATGTCCCTTTTTGAAGTAGATGGTAAAATAAAAACAAATAAATACAGCAATAGTTCTTCCTGTGGCAAAATGAAAGTGAAAGTCACTCAGTTGTGTCTGACTCTTTGCAACCCATGGACCATACAGTCCGCAGAATTCTCCAGGCCAGAATACTGGAGTGGGTAGCCGTCCCTTTCTCCAGGGGATCTTCCCAACCCAGAGATGGAACCCAGGTTTCCCACACTGCAGGCATATTCTTTACCAGCTGAGCCACAAGGCCAAACCAAATAAAAGCTGCTCACCCTATCCTAGAAACTAAATTCATCTTCTTATGAATGATTTAATAACATGGGCCTTATTCAAAAGCAAAAGGGCTTGGGTTCATCACTGTCCAAATGTCACAGAAAGAACCATCATGTGACTGATCTTCCCAAGTGCATAAAGAAATATATGGCAAGACTCCTTGGTAGCCCCTTCCTTCCCCCTGGGGCAGGGACTAATCAGTGAAAGAGGGGGCCCAGGGGCAGGGCTCCATGAGTCTGTTCTCTTGAACCAGGGTGGGATGGGAGCAATCTCTCAAACTATAGGGGAAAAACCAGGAAGGAAAAGATGTTAAATCAGAGGTCTGAGGCCTTCTGATCGTCCTCCATGGGATCCTCAAAAGGTAATGACAACAGGGTCAGCTTAAAGAGAGTGCTGGAGTCTTACTTACTAGTTAAGCCATTATAAGCAATGTACTTAACTTGTCTGAGTCTCATTTTTCTCATTAGTAAATGAGGATAATGAAAATTACCATGAATGGTTATATAATAATTAGAAATGATGTATGCTAAATGCCTAACACAGCATCAGATTAATAGCTTTTAACAAATGATAGAGTAGTTTTTATTCTTTTGAATTTCTCCTACTCCTACAACAATGACAAAAAATAAATAAATAAATAAAACATAAAAATAGAAAAATCACATTTTATTTACTCAGAAGACAGCATTAATTGGGAAAACAGGAAGTAGGTAAAATTAATGCCACTAAATAATTTTCTCTGTAATAAGCTTAAAGTGAACACATGAAACAATAAATGAGAACAGAACACAAGTGGCATGTGCCTATTTCCTCCTACCCTTTACCACTCATTCTGGAAAACTGGTCTATTTAAATATTGGCTTTAGATATTTGAACCTATTCTAAAGCATACTTGGCTGGACATACTCCTTACAGATAATTTCCTTGGAAGTCTGGTTGCAAACTAAATAAAACTGGTTGTATCATAAGATTGTAGGGGTGTGAACTCAACTGATTCCCAAATGTAAAGTAAATTTGGAATGACCTGGCAGTTTGGGTTGTTATACACTGAGCACATGCAAAGATCAGCTTCATTTAAGATTATTTTTTAAGCTAACATTTATCAAGAGATGTCTAAGTATATGGCCTATTATCTGCTTGAATTGGCAATGGGTAGATTATATCCTTTATTCTTCACAAAACTTTGCAGTAGGTATTGTTATTGCTTTCATTTTTCCAATGAAAGAACTAAAGTACAGATTTTAACACTTTCCTAATGTTACACAGCTAGGAAAGGGTGGTAGAATGTGAATTTAAATCCAGGTCATTCTGACTCCAGGGACTCTCTCAACTTTCATTGTGGAAATACTAAAATAGGATACGAGCCATTTACAGGCAGAAAGATTTAAAGAAGTTTAAAGAATGTACTGTACAAATTCAAAGTATAAAGAGGTTTTTAGGAAGAATTGGTTAAACTACAATGAATAAATATATGTATTTTTATATATAGGGCTTCCCAGGTCGCACTATTGGGAAAGAACTCACCTGCCAATGCAAGAGACGTAAAAGACATGGGGTTCAATACCTGGGTCGGGAAGATGCCCTGGAGAAGGGCGTGGCAATCCACTCCAGTATTCTTGCCATGGAGAGGAACCTGGTGGGCTACATTCCATAGGGTTGTAAAGAGTCAGATATGACCGAAGTGACTAAGCACGCGCACACGCACACACACACACACACACACACATATGTGTGTATATATATGTATAAGAAATCTAACTCACTTATACCTACCTACTATATACCGGGTACCAATAGATTCTATGTGAGCTACAAATAAATATGACCTCTTCTCCCAAGAGTTTCCAAAGCAAAATTGGAAAAAGAAAACCAAATATCATATATTACCCCAAACACCTAACACAAAAAGGATGTAGGTACGGTGTATTCAAGGACTGTCCCTTAGCTATATGAAGGCAGGAACTTTGGTTCTTGTATCACTAGTGTCTAAAACAGTGTATAGTAAGCACTCAGCAAATGTTTATTGAATGAATAGGTATATGCATATATGGATGGCTAGATATATAATATGATTAGTAAGTACTTGGAGATTCTAATAAGTATGTACATCTAAGTTGGGTTAAGTAAAAGTCATGATGGAAATGAGATTTTTTTTTTTTAAGTTATATGGTGGCAATATATGAAGCTGATGACATTCTACAAAATATACAAATAGTGTCACCATCTGTGACGGTTAATTTTACGTGTCAACTTGACTGAGTCATGAGGTTCTCATATATTTGGCAAACACTATTCTGGGTATGTCTGTGAGGGTGTTTTGGAAGAAAGTAATATTTAAATTGGTAGACTGAATAAAGCAGGTTGCCCTCTCTAATGTAGGTGGGTATCACCCAATCAGTCACAGACCTGAATAAAGCAGAAAGGCTGACCCTCCCACCAGTAAAAAAGTCTTCCTGTCTGACAGCCTTTGAACTGGGACACTGTTTCATTCTCCTACCTTCAGACTTGAACTGAAGCATCTGCTCTTCTTGGGTGCTGAGCTCGCCAGTCACCAAAACTGGAACTGTACCTTCAGCTCTCCAGGGTCCCCGGCTTTTGGACTGAAACTAAACCATCAGCTCTCCTGGATCTCTAGCTTGTCAATTCGCCCGGCAGATCTTCAGACTTGCCAGCCTCCAAAACCACATAAGCTAATTCTGTACAATAAATTTACCAATCTATATAAATATATGCTTTCAGTTCTGTTTTTTTCTGGAAAATCCTGATGACTACACCATAATATTCTGAATCCTAGATGAAGAAATGGCCTTGCCTGGAATGGTATTTGCTGTGTCCTCATGTTGTATATTTAGTCCCACTGCCTTCTCTCATGCCCAGTATCGGGATTCTCAGGCTTCACAATAAGTAATATTTGTGCTGTGCTATGCTTAGTCGCTCAGTCGTGCCAGACTCTTTGAGACCCCATGGACTGTAGTCTGCCAGGCTCCTCTGTCCTCGGAATTCTCCAGGCAAGAATACTGGAGTGGGGAGCCATTCCCGTCTCCGTTTTCCCAACCCAGGGATCGAACCCAGGTCTCCTGCACTGCAGGCAGATTCTTTACCATCTGAGCCACCATGGAAGCCCAAGTAATATTTGATGTAGTCCAAAACAGTAATTATTCTAGAAATAGCTTATGAAATAAAACAAAGTCTCAACTTATACTTTTCCTCAATGATCTTCAATTGGGCATTTAATTATGATTTATCAATAAGTCTATTTCTATTTTAAAGGATAAATCATTAACCATCCAGGATTATTTGTCATCCTTTTAAAAAAAGTCCATTTTAAAACACTCATCATATACATAAAAACAAATGAAAATCCTCATAGAAACTGGGCAAAGGTTATAAGACATTCACAGAAAAAAATGCACAGACTTGGTTAGCAAAACAAAGGTGCATAAACTCACTCATAACTAAGTAAATGCAAATCAGACCACAAGGAAATATCATTTCAACCCATCATATGGGCAAAAAATTTTATTTTCCATAATATCAAGATGTACAGAAAGACATGTTCTCATTAACTATTGATGATGTCATTCCTTAATAGGAATAGATGGCACAATTTAGTTAAATAAAAAATTCACAAACCATTGACACACCATCTATACTGTTAGGAACTGATCCTACTGATATACTTGCAAAAGTATGTCAGAAATTGCAGCAATATTGGTACTAGCATAAAACAAAACAATCCCTAACTCCCCAAACAATCTACATACTTAACAGAAAGTTAACAGTTAAATAAATGATATGCATATACCATGTAATACTGAACAGGCATTGAAAAGAATGAAGAACACTGAGTTTGCTGATATGAAAACAGACCAAAGATATGATTCAGTCAATGATTATGTATTAGTCAGGGTTCTCCAGAGACATAGTATCAATAGGATAGATATAGACATAGATAAGAGAGACAGAGAGATTGGTTTATTATAAACATAGATGAAATAAAGCATAGAATGGCTTATATAAAATAATCTCATCTATGTTTTAAAAAAGAATATATACAAACGTCTGTAAATGGGGAAATAGAGACAGTCACATAGAGCAAGAGATAGATGCAGAAACATTTTTCTGTAAGCATATATAGGAAACAGTGATTACTTTAGGGGAAGAAAACTAGCTATTGAGTGGTGCATAGGAGAACATCTATTTTATAACTTTCCTTACAGTATTAGTATTTAATTATGTGTATAACTTTTAGTTTAAAATGCTTACTTTAAAAGAAGGCAAGAGAAAATTTTATTCTCACCTGATTGTTTCAAGTAATGATTAACAATTGAAGAAACTCCATGAGGTGCTACAAAGTTACAGTCTCCTTCTTTTATCACCATTCCATCAATAGGAGAGGTCAGAGGCTTCAAAATGCCATCGGCTAACAATTCATCATAAAAACTGAAACAAATCAAAATGTGTAACATAACTATATGCTATACTTAGTTCTAAACACTAAATTCTCTTCAAAGAATTCTTCAAGATTATAATCCTAAATAAAAACTAGAAATCTTCTTATAAACAACTCAACATATGTTTTGTGTTAATAAGACATAATTTTGGTGAAGAATGGAAACATTTTGAGAATTCATAGTCTCTTGCTGATCATAGTCAAAGGTCTACTTTCTCATATATTTCAAAATTAAAGTCAGTGAAAATAAACAGAAAGGTATTCATTACACCAATTTTAAATCTGGTTAAGATTTGACTTCCATCACAGTTATCTGTCCTCTTTCTCAACACCAACATAGTTAACTCCTATTTATTGAGCTCTTACCATGTTCCATATAACATCCCACCTGATCTTCACAATCACTGGAGAGGCATGTATTACAGTTTTCCCACTTTACTTATGTAAATCTTTTATTGCTATTAATACTATGATCAATGATGATGATATAATTTCACTGTATTACAAGAGTCAGAGTTTAACTCTGTTAAAAACGGATGATTTGTATCTTTTTTCATCCTCAACCAGGAAGACTGATTCCACTCCTTTCAACTAACTCACCTTTGGTGTATTTTGGCATAATGAGGAGTGCAGGTGATATACTGGGCACCCAAGTCCACTGTGCTCTGTGGATTATGAGGACTGCTGGCTGTAGTCATTCTTCCTCCTTGAATTAGTCCCCAGGAAAATATCTTAATATATTGGAATGAATATTTCACAATTAACACTGATCACCCCAGGTTATACCAAAATGGATAACTTAGAACTGTTTCAGAAAACACATTTTTAATTTTTTACTTTTAGATTTCATAATAATTAATACATTTTAAAATTTTGTTTTCTCCAGATTCCAGAGATCTAAAAAAATTGTTTGTTTCTTAAACTGAAGGTTTTGTCATCTAACACTGTTAGGAAGTAATTAGCAAAGACAATTCAGTCAGGGGATGTGAGATATTTTTTAAAAAGAACACATGAATAATACAGCAGCCTTCAGCACTGTGCCTGCTGCATCTACGTACTGATCTGAATAAAGGCAATGAATGAATGGACCAAAGAAAACAAAATAATGAATGAAACGTCAGAATGAATGAATCAGCGAATGCCTTCCCTCTGCTGTCAGGTTTCAGGAGAGTGACAGGATTCTCTCAAGTAGACAGATCTTCGGAAAGTCGTGGTCAATGGGCACTGGAGGATTCTCATAATCTAAAGAAAGCTGCCAGGGTACAGAGCAGCCAAGGGAAAAAAAAAATCACTTCTTGGCGACAGCGGCAGGCCCAAGCTTTGCAAACTCCAGTCAGGATGTCTCCCAGCCGCTCAGGCCTCCCAGGGAAGTGCTCCGGGATCCCGTCCTGCCCCCACCCGCCCCACCGCCCGGCCTGGGTCGCCGCCCCAACTCGCGCCCACTCTTCTGGCCGTCCAGAGCGGCGGAAGTCTCTGATCACGTGATCAGGCGCCCGCCGACCTGCGGGGTGTTCCCCGAGCCTTACTTGAAGAAGGCCTACACCACCTTAGAAGCCAGCGTGCCCGCCGGTCTTCCTTTCCCTGGCTTCCGTCCGGAAACGACCCACCTGAGTCCCCGGCCTTGTCCCACACAGTGAGGCGCAGAGGACTGGACGCCTCCCTCCTCAGCAGCGCCGCGCACAAGCTTCCCGTCAGCCCGGCGCCCACGATCAGCACCCGCGTCATGGCCCGCGGTCTCCGCGCCCGGGTGGCCGGCCTGCAGTCGGTGGAGCCGCCGCCACAGCCCAGCGGGCCAGAAGCTGTCGGCTCCGTGCTCCCGGCCCTACTCGGCCCCTGAGCAGTTCCGTGGTCGGCCTGCAGGGGGCGGAGAGGAGGCGACTCGGCTGAGAGAATGATCAGCACTGAAGACCAGCAAATCTTGCCCTTCCTCTTGGTTTGAGAGCCAGGAGCGGTCTTCAAGGATCGTCTGCCTCCATCCAATAAGCTGTGATTTCCAACATGCCTCTCGCCCCCCAAACCTGTAAATCATATAGGTTAGAGCGTGAGACCCCGCCTCGCCACAGGGCTGGTGTTGACTACTGCGGAGACCCAGCCCAAGGTTAACTACTAGGGTAACTGTGCTTTGTTGGAACCTTGGCTTCTTAATAGTCTTAAGTCTGAAAGGAACACAGCAGTGATGCCAGAGCCAGCTTTCTCCAAGCACCTTAATAGTCACTATTCACATAACAGAAAAAGAATTTGGGAGAGATTTTGCTTAGACTAACCTTCGGGCTTTGTGTAAATGATAAACTTTTTGAACCTCAATTTCTCCACCTGTAAAAGAGGGCCAGAAAATTCTGTATTCCAGATTATCGACAGTTAAAGATATATGGTTCACCAGAGAATTTTAGGTCAATCTTCTCTTCAGTAAATATTAAATTTTATCACAAAACAATCCAGTTGCTGTAAGGGATGTGTGAATGAGCAAGACAAGGATTCATGCCCTTACCACTAGTTTTTTGTTTGCTTTCTAACGTTGTCCTGGAAATTCTCAAGGAAACAGTAATATGCAAGGGTAAGACTGAACCATTTCAGTTACCCTGAATTGCAGATAAATTATTACTTGGACACTAGAGAAACTTGTTATAAGAAAACTGACAATGATAGTCAATTATAATGAAAACATTAAAAATTAGAAGTTTTACTGTATGTACACATGAGGGAGAAATTACCAGGCTTCAAGTTGGTGATAGATCAATATTACATATATCTAATAAAAGATAAAGATATAATATCTAATAAAAGATAATCGAACTATACTTTGGATAGTAACCCCTTATTGGTCATATCATTTGCAAATATTTTGTCCCATTCAATACATTGTCTTTTAATTTTAATAATCATGTCATTTGCTGTGTAAAAGCTTATAAGTTCAATTTAGTTTCATGGTTTATTTTTGCATGTGTTTCATTTGCCTTATGAGACAAGTCCAGAAAAAAATACTGCTTACTTTTATATCAAAGAGCAGTCTGCCTGTATTCTCTTCTATGAGTTTTATGGTTTTAGGTCTTACATTTAGATCTTTAAATCATTTTGAGTTTATTCTTTTTTTTTTTCTTTGAGTTTATTCTTGTATAAGGTGTGAGGAAATGTTCTAATCTCATTTCTTTACATGTAGCTTTCCAGTTTTCCCAGCACTGAGACTATATTTTTTCCACCATATAGTCTTACATCTTTGTTATGGATTTATTGAGTGTGTGAATTTATTAAGTGTGTGAATTTATTTCCTGGCTCTCTATTCTGTTACATTGATCCATGTGTCTGTTTTTGTGACAATATCAGTATTTTGATTTCAAGACTTTTTTCATATAGTCTGAAATCTGAGAAGGTGATATCTCTAGCTTTGTTCTATTTTCTCAAGATTGCTTTGGCAATTCAGGGTCTTTTGCACTTCTGTATAAATTTTCTGATTATTCTAGTTAGTGAAAAATGTCCTGGTTATTATGATAGAGATTTCATTAAATCTATAGATTGCTTTGGATAGTATGGTTATTTTAACAATATTAATTTGTCCAATTTATGGCCACAGAATATCTTTCCATTTCTTTGTATCATCTACAAATTTCCTTTATCCATGTTTTATAGTTTTCAAAGTATAGTTTTAACCTCCTTGATTAAGTTTATTTCTAAGTATTTTATTAACACAGTTTTAAACGAGATTGTTTGCTTGCTTTCTCTTTCTGGTATTTCATTATTAGTGTATAGTAAACTAACAGATTTCTGTATATTAATCTTGTATCCTGCAACCTTACTGAATTCAGTTTTTAGTTCTAATAGCTTTTGGGTGGAGACTTCAGGGTTCTCTATGTAGAATATCGGGTCATCTGCAAGTAGTGTCATTTTTGCCTTTGTTGTTTTTGTCGTTTAGTCACTAAGTTGTGTCTCTTTGTGACCCCATGGACTATAACCTGCCAGGATCCTCTGTCCATGGAATTTTCCAGGCAAGGATACTGGGTTACCATTTCCTACCCCAGGGGAACTTCCTCCCCTGGGGATCGAGCCTGCATCTCCTGAATTTCTTGCATTTCAGGCAGATTCTTTACTGCTGAGCCACCGGGGAAGCCCCATTTTTGCCCTGCCCTTCCTTAAATTTGAATAGCTTTAATTTCTTTTTGCTATCTGATTGCCATGGCTAGAACTTCTAGTACCATTTATTTAGAAGTGGTACGAGTGGGCATCCTTGTCTTGTTCCCAGTTTTAGAGGAAATGCTTCCAGCTTTCCAGCATTGAGGTGATATTAGCTGTGATTGTATCATATATGGCCTTTACTATGCTGAGATATGTTCCCTCTACACAATTTGATGAGAGTTTGTTGTTTTTTTTAAATCATGAATGGATATTGAATTTTGTCAACTGCTTTTTCTGATCGTGTGATTTTTATCCTTTTTATTATTGTGGTGTATCACATTGATTGACTTGCAGATATTGAACCATTCTTACATCACTTTACATATGTAAATATAGACACTAAATTCAAGTGAATTTTTCCTAGGTTAAGCAGTATCTTGAGGAATCAATGTAGGTCCTCATGATCTGTTGAGTACATTCTTCTCTTTCCTGTCATCGCCTCTTGTTACCTCATTTCTGTTAATAATCAGACTTGAAACCTCATAGTCATCTTCAATATATCTATTCTCTTTTCTCATCCTTGATATCTATTAGTCTTCTGGTATTTTTTATCTCTTCTCCTCTGTGTCTTAAATCCAATCCCACTCCATTGTATCTCAGAGAAGTACAAATTTCTACCAGCAATATTCTACATTGCCTATTTTACCGCATTCTTGTCAGCTGTGAACATTGAGCATTTTGAAAGGTGATCATTGACAGATTAATCCGTTACTTAAGTTCAAACAGTCATTAATTCTTAATTATTATAGTAGCTTTCTAACTGACCTCTCTGCTCCTAATCTCTGTTCTGCACCAAGTTTCTAGATTGGTCATTGCCATTCTCAAATAACTTTTAGAAATTCTCAGTCTCATACAGATTAAAGTTCAACTAATTGGCATAAAAATATTCAGTCACTACTATATATAAAATAGATAACCTGGAAGAACCTGCTGTAAAACTCAGGGAACTCTACTCAATACTGCACAGCGCCCTATATGGGAAAAGAATCTTAAAATAAAAAGAGCAGATATAGGTATATGTGTAACTGATTCACTTTGCTGTGTGCCTGAAACTAACACAACATTGTAAATCATGTATGTGCCAACAATTGTTTTTTAAAAAGTATTCAGTGATATTTCTCAAGTCTATGTTCATATCTTATCTTGGTAGTCTTTTTTTTTCAGTTGTTTTTAATGAATTTTTTTGTTTTTATTGTAGTGGTTTTTGCCATACATTGACATGAATCAGCCATGGATTTACATGTGTTCCCCATCCCGATCTCCCCTCCCACCTCCCTCTGCATCCCATCCCTCTGGGTCTTCCCAGTGCACCAGCCCTGAGCACTTGTCTCATGCATCCAACCTGGGCTGGTGATCTGTTTCACCCTTGATAGTATACTTGTTTCAATGCTGTTCTCTCAGAACATCCCACCCTCGCCTTCTCCTACAGAGTCCAAAAGTCTGTTCTGTACATCTGTGTCTCTTTTTCTGTTTTGCATATAGGGTTATCGTTACCATCTTTCTAAATTCCATATATATGTGTTAGTATACTGTAATGGTCTTTATCTTTCTGGCTTACTTCACTCTGTATAATGGGCTCCAGTTTCATCCATCTCATTAGAACTGATTCAAATGAATTCTTTTTAATGGCTGAGTAATATTCCATGGTGTATATGTACCACAGCTTCCTCATCCATTCGTCTGCTGATGGGCATCTAGGTTGCTTCCATGTCCTGGCTATTATAAACAGTGCTGCGATGAACATTGGGGTGCACGTGTCTCTTTCAGATCTGGTTTCCTCGGTGTGTATGCCCAGAAGTGGGATTGCTGGGTCATATGGCAGTTCTATTTCCAGTTTTTTAAGAAATCTCCACACTGTTCTCCATAGTGGCTGTACTAGTTTGCATTCCCACCAACAGTGTAAGAGGGTTCCCTTTTCTCCACACCCTCTCCAGCATTTATTGCTTGTAGACTTTTGGATAGCAGCCATCCTGACTGGCGTGTAATGGTACCTCATTGTGGTTTTGATTTGCATTTCTCTGATAATGAGTGATGTTGAGCATCTTTTCATGTGTTTGTTAGCCATCTGTATGTCTTCCTTGGAGAAATGTCTGTTTAGTTCTTTGGCCCATTTTTTGATTGGGTCATTTATTTTTCTGGAGTTGAGCTGGAGGAGTTGCTTGTATATTTTTGAGATTAATCCTTTGTCTGTTGCTTCGTTTGCTATTATTTTCTCCCAATCTGAGGGCTGTCTTTTCACCTTGCTTATAGTTTCCTTTGTTGTGCAAAAGCTTTTAAGTTTCATTAGGTCCCATTTGTTTATTTTTGCTTTTATTTCTAAAATTCTGGGATGTGGGTCATAGAGGATCCTGCTGTGATTTATGTCGGAGAGTGTTTTGCCTATGTTCTCCTCTAGGAGTTTTATAGTTTCTGGTCTTACATTTAGATCTTTAATCCATTTTGAGTTTATTTTTGTGTATGGTGTTAGAAAGTGTTCTAGTTTCATTCTTTTACAAGTGGTTGACCAGTTTTCCCAGCACCACTTGTTAAAGAGGTTGTCTTTTTTCATTGTATATCCTTGCCTCCTTTGTTGACGATAAGGTGTCCATAAGTACATGGATTTACCTCTGGGCTTTCTACTCTGTTCCATTGATCTATATTTCTGTATTTAGAAAGACAGAAATACAGACCTTGGTAGTCTTTATATGCCTTGTGCTGCTAAGCTGGGGCTACTCTGATGGCTCAGACAGTAAAGAATCTGACTGCAATGTGGAAGACCCAGGTTTGATCCCTGGATCGGGAAGACCCTCTGGAGAAGGGAATGGCTACCCACTCCAGTATTCTTGCCCGGAGTATTCCATGGACAGAGGAACCTGGCAAGCTGCAGTTCATGGGATCACAAAGAGCTGGATACTGAGCTATTAACACTTTCACTTTCTCAACTAAGTTGAGTTATTCTAGTTCCATGAATATATCCTCAGATTTTCCACTTATCTGCGGAAGTGAGAAACATTTGTTTATGTTGTTCTTGAGTATAAGGTATACTTTCTGACTTGTGTTGCCAGTAGTTGTGAATTTGCATTAATTCTTCACTCTCTTTTTCTTTTCCCCATGATCAACAATATCCTTTTTAAAAAGTTATCCAAAATTTGGGAATGTTATGACCATTCAGTAGAAGTAGCCATGGTGGTTTGTGATTTCTTGTCACTTTTTGTCTTCAGGGAGTGACAGAGCCACCCTCCCCACCTACAGTCCTAACCTCCAAGATGGATTATATTACTTCAGAGCTATAACTCCAAGCTTGTGTGGGTGCATGGCTGGCTACTAACACTGGTGTACCTCTCTGGGAGAGGTGTGAGTGACTCAGTGACCTAGAGAAGGCAGTACTGTAAAACAGCTGGGCCAGATGGACTTACACTTACTCTTCATGTTCACCTTGGCATTTTGCCTTCACTTCTTCCCAGTTTACTGCAATGGCTCCTCCTGATCATTCAAGTCCGGCTTAAAAGTTACCTAAATGAGGTCTTCTCTAATCACTTGACCTAAAATAGCCACCCAGTGACCCTCTTTTGCATTAACCTATTTTCTTAATATCACTTAATTACCTTTAGAAGTGAACTTGCTTTTTACTTGTTTAACTGTTTATTGTTTATTTAGTTTAGTTTTTCTCTCACTAGAATTTAAGCACCAAGAGGACAGAAATATCATCATGTTCAATACCGTATCTTTGGCAACTGGAATCCAAATTAGAATTCTCAAAGACTGAGAGTTCACTAACTCTTTGCCTAGAAGATATCCAAGACTTTTGAGGATAATACTTAAAGGAAGATAGGCTGAATGGTAATTCAGTGGGGTGATATCAATATTAAGCATATTTTCTCAGAGAGTTCTTTTCTATGATATAATATTACTATAATGATATAAAATACAGTGTCAGTGAACAAAGAATATCTGATAATGTGATTCACAGCACTTTCTGTCCTTATTTATTTCATTGATAATTTACATAATCATTAATGGCATTTCTAACAATATTTAGATGGCATAAAATCAAGATGAATAGCCCCATGGAGCTATTTTATCTTATTCCTTAATGTAATTTAAATTTTTATTGAAGTATGGCTAATGCACAACACTGTTAGTTTCAGGTATATAGTAAAGTATGTGTATATATGTGAACTTCCCTCTTATACCTGCTTTTGGCGGCATCCCATAGATTTTGGAAAATTTTGTTTCCATTTTGATTTGTCTTGAGGTATTTTCTTATTTCCTCTTTGAATTCATTTTTTAAATAGCCTGTTGTTTAGTCTCCATGTGTTTGTTCTTTTCCTGGTTTTCTTTCTGTAGTTGATTTCTAATTTCATACAATTGTGGTAAAAAAAAATACTGTTTCTACAAATGTTATTATTTTATTGTTATTTGTATTGTTTTCATTGACTTTATTTGGCATGATTATTTTGAAATTCATGTTGTCGAATGTGTCAGTTCATTTCTTTTTATGGATACATGATATTTCTTTATATGGATATGTCACAGTATGTTTATCTGTTCACCTCCTGATGAACATTTGGGTTGTTTCTAAAAATAAAGCTGCTATGAATATTTTACAAGTCTTTATATGAACACTGGCTTTCATTTATCTCGTGTAAATATCTGGGGGTGGAATAGTCTGGTTATATGGTAGATGTGTTCAACTTTGAAAGTAACTATCAAGTGAAACTGTTTCCCAAAATGACTTTATCATTTTACATTCTAACAGGACCATTTGAAGATTCTATTTATTCTTCATTCTTAGTATCATTGAATATGATCAATCCTTTCAACTTTAGCCATTCTAAGTGTGTGATGCCATTACAGTAAGGTTTTAATTTTAATTTCTCCAATGATGTTTGATATTGACCATTTTTTCATGTGGTCATTTGCCATTCGTATAGCTACTTTTGTGAAGTGTCTGTTCAAAGTTTCTACCTATTAAATAAATTGGGTAGTTTATTTTCTTATCACTGAATTTACAGAGTTTATTATATATTTTGGATACAAATAAAATGTGTGACTAGCAAATGCTTTCTTCCTGTCTATGACTTCTATTAATTACATTATCAGCATCTTTCCAAGTGCAGATATCCTTAATTTATCCATTTTTAGCTTATATGGTTTCTACTTATTGTCTTCCATCAAAGAAATACTGGATTTATACTTCAAGGTAATGAAGACTTTTCTCTTATGTTTTCTTCCAGAAGTTTTATAGTGTTATTCAGTTCAGTTCAGTCACTCAGTCATGTCTGACTCTTTGCGACCCCATGGACTGCAGCATGCCAGACTTCCCTGTCCATCACCAACTCCTGGAGCTTGCTCAAACTCATGTCCATTGAGTCGGTGATGCCATCCAGTTGTCTCATCCTCTGTAGTCCCCTTCTCCTGCCTTCAATCTTTCCCAGCATCAGGGTCTTTTTCAATGAGTCAGTTCTTCACATCAGGTGGCCAAAGTATTAGAGCTTCAGCTTCATCATCAGTCCTTCCAATGAATATTCAGAACTGATTTCCTTTAGGACTGACTGGTTTGATCCCTTTGCAGTCCAAGGGGCTCTCAAGAGTCTTCCCCAACACCACAGTTCAGAAGCATCAATTCTTTGGTGCTCAGCTTTCTTTGTGGTCCAACTCTCACATACATACGTGACCACTGGAAAAACCATGCTTTGACTAGATGGCATTTGTCAGCAAAGTAATGTCCCAGCTTTTGAATATACTGTCTAGGTTGGTCATAGCTTTTTTCCAAGGAGCAATCATCTTTTAATTTCATGGCTGCAGTTTTCTGCAGTGATATTGGAGCCTAAGAAAATAGTCTATCACTGTTTCTATTGTTTCCCCATCTATTTGCCATGAAGTGATGGGACCGGATGCCTTGACCTTAGTTTTTTGAATGTTGAGTTTTAAGCCAGCTTTTTCACTTTCATCAAGACACTCTTTAGTTCCTCTTCCCTTTCTGCCATAAGGTGGTGTCATCTGCATATCTGAGGTAATTGATATTTCTCCCGGCAATCTTGATTCCAACTTGTGCTTCATCCAGCCCAGCATTTCACATGATGTACTCCGCATATAAGTTAAATAAGCAAATAAATAAATAAGCAGGGTGACAGTATACAACCTTGACGTATTCCTTTCCCAATTTGGAACCAGTCTGTTGTTCCATGTCTGGTTTGTTGCTTCTTGACCTGCATACAAATTTCTCAGTAGGCAGGTAAGGTAGTCTGGTACTCCCATCTCTTAAAGAATTTTCCACAGTTTGTTGTGATCCACACAGTCAAAGGCTTTGGCAGAGTCAATAAAGCAGAAAGTAGATGTTTTTCTGTAAGTCTCTTGCTTTTTCGATGATCCAATGGATGCTGGCAATTTGATCCCTGGTTCCTCTGCCTTTTCTAAACCCAGCTTGAACATCTGGAAGTTCTCGGTTCACGTTCTGTTGAAGTCTCACTTGGAGAATTTTGAGCATTATTTTGCTGGCATGTGAGATGAGTCAGAGTTTTGTTGGTAGAATCGCACACATAATTCTTCTCTGAACTCTCACAATGCTGTTACATTTCTTATAGCAATTACCATTATAGTCATACTTTCTGCTCTCCTAAGATCTCTGAGACTGACCTCATCTCCCTTGCCCCTCAGCACTCAGTGGTGCCTGGTGTAAAACCTTGAGGTAGGGCCTGGCCTGCAGCAGGTGCTCAGTGGTGGCAGAGTGGGAGCGGCACAGCCCATCCATGGTAAAGGCTTATCAGTCGTCCTCAGGGATTTAAACCCTGTGCCCTGCAACTGTGTATGAGTGGTTATTTTTCTGTGAGGTAGTTTTTCTTCCTTTAAAACAAAACATGAACTCTGTTGGCTTCATGATTTGGTGAGAGATCTCTATCATGTATCAGGCAAATCTCGCTATTCTCTTTTAAAATTTTAAAAAATATTTTAAAATTTAGATGATTCTTTAAATTCTTTAGTGCTTTACAGTTTTCAAAAGATTCACACAATTTCATATAATACTATAACTCCCCCTCCCCACCCCTATGCTGCCCCTCCCACTTCTGTCTCCCTACTGGTAACCACCAGTTGGCTTCTCTGTATCTGTAAGCCTTTCTTGTTTGTTTTAGTCATTAGTTGTAGTTTTAGATTCAACATGTAAGTGATATCATACAGTATTTGTTTTCTAACTTATTTCACTTAGCATGACAGTGAAGTGAAAGTGTTAGTCACTGTTGTGTCTGACTGTGCAACCCAATGGACTATAGGCTCCTCTGTCCATGGAATTCTCCAGGCAAGAATACTGGAGTGGGTAGCCATTCCTTTCTCCAGGGGATCTTCCTCCTGATCCAGGGGTCGAACCCAGGTTCCCTGCACTGCAGGCAGATTCATTTTCTGAGCCACTAGGGAAGGCCTCACATAGTATAAAGTTCATCTATTTTGCTGCAAATGGCAAAATCTGCTCTTTCTTATGGCTGAGTAGTAGTATAGGAATACCACCATCTACACACACACACTCCACACATCACCTTTGTCCATCCATCTCTTGATGGACACAGGTTGCTTTCATCCCTTGGTATAACTGTAGATAATGCTGTTGTGAACATTGAAGTATAATGCTATTCCCTTTTATTCCTGTCCAATCATAGTGATCTTTCATGAAAAATGAATCTGATCCTGTTATCCTCAAACTTAAAGCCCTTTTATAGCTTCCAGTTAGTTTTTCCCCCCTTAGCCAGACTTTATTTGAATGTTTGCAACTATGACTATACACAATTTTTTTTTCACGTCTAACAGCTTTATTGAGATGTAATTTTACATGCCGTACAAGTTACCCATTTAAAAAGCATTTATTTGGCTTCGTCAGGTCTTAGTTGCAGCATGTCAGATCTTCGTTGCATCATGCAGGGGCTTTTCATTGTGGTGNATCCCTGGGTTGGGAAGATCCCCTGGAGAAGGGAAAGGCTACCCACTCCAGTATTCTGGCCTGGAGAATTCCATGGACTGTATAGTCCATGGGGTCACAAAGACTCTGACAGGACTGAGAGACTTTCACTTTCACTTTTCTTATAGACATCACAGAGTGGAGTCTTGCTTTTCTAATCCACTCTGACAATTTCTGTGTTTAACCAGTATATGTAGACCATTTACAAATAATTCTTCAATTCCTGGGTTGGGAAGATCCCCTGGAGAAGGGAAAGGCTACCCACTCCAGTATTCTGACCTGGAGAATTCTGTGGATAAGTCCATGGGGTCACAAAGAGTTGGACACGACAGAGCAGCTGTCACTTACTCTTTCACAAATGATTATTGTGTTGTTGATTAAAATCTACCAGGTTACTGCTGTGTTTCTTTGTTCTTCATTTATTTTTTTGAAGATCTCTTACTTCTTAAGGTCTAACTGAGCATTTATTATTAACCCGTTTTACCTTCTTTATCGACTTACTCTTTGTACTTCTTAAAAGTTTTTTATTTTCTTGAGTTTACAACATATATTTTTAAATAATCTAAGCCAAACTTCAATGTTTTTCTTTCTATCATATGTGTTAGGAAAAGAAATGAGCACTTGTTTATGTTTTCCATAGGGAGAAATCTTCAAAACCCAACAATAATGATATGACAGTCGCTTCTATATTTGAACTGCTTTACACCATTCATAGACTGCGTGTTTACTACTCATTAATGTTATTACAGTGACTTCCAGTCAGAAGAACAGAAATCTATTTTAACACTTTAAGGGAGTTAGAATTATGTCTTAATAATTCTGATTTAAGAAACAAACTGCACTAGTGGGAAACTACCACTAACAACCTTTGTGGATATTTTTGTGGATGTATTTAGAGTAGCATATGGGAAAGTGACTTGAAAAGCTACTTAGCATTTATTAGTATCAACAGTGTTCTTTCAAAATTTTTTGTAGTTTCTTTTGCCAGTTTGTATAATGCCAGGTTTGATTTTGCACTGAGATTAAATGTTCTCATTTTTTAATTTTTTCACTTTATCTATGATTATATTTAGCAGCCTTTGCCAAAAGGAGCACAATATGTGATTGACTACTTTGAAGACGCATATATTAGGCCCCTAAAATCAAGAAGAGCAAAAAGGTATGGCATAATGTTTTCTATTGTTGTGGGTTGTATCTAAAGTCAAACTAATGATTTTAATGGCAGAAACTGAAGAAAATTGATCCTCAAATCAACTTTTAGAAAATTATATTTAGTTACAGATGGGTGCTGTTAATAATGCAGCTTTTTGGTTTAATTTTGTTTAAGTGCTTTTGCTAACTGTGTGATAATCTTTAAAAATCATTATGTAAGATATTTATTACTCTTGCACAAAGCTCAATCTTCTGTCACGCTTCCATCTTTAAAATAATCTTTTAAAAGTTTGTCCCTACACTAAGCAAAGCACCAGTTCATGACATAGTATTTCTCCAACCAGCCAACAGAGATGAAAAATTATGGTTAATGACTAAAGTTGAGGTAATAGTAATTACTAGATTAGATACTAGGTNTAGGCTGATAATAGCTTTTCTTCCAAGGAGAAACCGTTTTTTAATTTCATGGCTGCAGTCACCATCTGCAAATCTCCAAATAATTCTGGAGCCCCCAAAAATAAAGTATTATATTAAAAAAGCATCACATCACATTTATCAAATTTAAGTTTTATAACAAACCTGAGAAGTAGGCATTATTTACACTTTTTAAGTATGAAAACATGCTCAGAGAGGGTAAGTAACTTGCTTTAAGTCACACAGTTTACAAGTTGTGTAGTTGGGAGTTTTATAAATGCCTCATAATATCTTTTCAGGTACAGTGTCTGGCTCATTTTACAAGGCTCATGAAATTGGTAAATCAAGGTCTGGGGAGAAAATCTGGATGGTGACCTCTGTGATTCCCTGGTTTCTCAGTTTTCATGAAATGATTTATGTGTCTGGCTTTCCAGAATTTTGTTACTCAAACTCAAAGTCATATTTCTGTAAACAAAATAAACTCCAAACCCTGAGAGGCTGAATGTAAGCTATGCAAGCTTTCTAATCTTCACATGAGTCCCCTTTCCCTCTCCCAAACCCAAAAACCTTTAAACATACTTTAAATAAATAATAGTCTGGTAAGAGTATTATTATATCAGTAATATCAATTATATTAGTTAACCTGCAGTATATAGTAAAACTCTTAAAACTGAGCTAAGCAATACTACTAAGAAGACTTTAAAGAGGGAATTTGTGCTACAGAATAGAGTAGTTGGAAAAGCATGGATTTTGGAGTTAAGCAGGCCTGAATCTGAACCGTGATTGCCAGTTATGCATTGTATATCCTTAGACAGGTTTATTTAATTTTTCAGAGCCTCTGTTTTGTCATCTGAAAATTGTAATACTCCCTACCTCACAGAATTATTTAAGCAGTCAAATAGTATTAATTGCTGCAATTTTAATATTATTAAAATCTTTTTACGTGTAGATTCCAAATGTGGTACCTTTTCAAGGTGATGTCTTTCATCCTAATTCTTGGAACTAGTCGTGGTGCCTTTAGAAAACAAAGATCTGTGAACCCTGAAGCAAGTATGAATATTGTAAGTTGCTAGGACATAAATGCTAAGCTGATAAAGTAACAGGGAATGTTACTCTTCAGTTTTGAGGGGTCTTATTTGAATAGATCTACAGTCAGTTTATATCTCTGCATTCATGTATTTTGAATATGGGCCAACTAATATTCCTCATCTGCTTTCCTATAGCTTACAGTTTCCCTTTCTGCTTTACTCTGTGTCTGAAATGAAAATATGCATAAACATATCATTTCTCTATTCTATATATGCATTTACATAACAAATTCCACATATGTATGTCTTCTTAGCTATATATATAGACAAACACTTGTGGGTAAACATATTTTAAAATTGTATATTTGTATGTAGATGAAACTATGATTAGCAGTCAGAAAAAAAAATAATGGGTTAGTTCTTGAGATATCTCCTTGAATGCAGGGGTTTTAATTTTTTGTTGTTGTTTTATTTATCTATGAACCCCTGGTATATAAGATTGATGCTTAGTAGATGTTCTATAAATATTTATTACTGAATTAATGAAAATAAAAAATGCATAAGCTTAAGATTGAGAATACAAAGATTCATTATTACATTAATGTGTGTTTGTGTGTGTTAGTCAGTCATGTCCTACTCTTTGTGACCCCAAGGATTATAGCCCTCCAGGCTCCTCTGTCCATGGGATTAGGTTAGATTTAATTAGGTTATGTTAATTCACTAACAGTCTTATTCTAAAAGGTTTGCTTTTTCCTTATCTAGAGTCAAATTATTTCCTACTGGGGCTACCCAGATGAAGAGTATGATATTACAACTGAAGATGGTTATATCCTTAGCCTTTATAGAATTCCCTATGGGAAGACAAACAGTGAAAACAATTCAGGTAAAGCTCAGTTCAAGATAAACTGGTGATTATCTGAAGCTCTTAACTTCATTTCTTCTCAGTGAGTTTAGGACAGGAAAAGGGTTTAGAGATTAAGCGAACAGTTAACTTCTCATGCATATCTCTATATGCCCCAGGAAGAGAATCTGACTCTCTAGCTTCCTGTTCAGAGTGGTTTTAAAGGAAGGTGGAACACACATTGCTCCCCCAAGTTTTCTTTGTAGATCACCATACTCATACATGTTGGTTACCTAGAATTTTCTTTGTCTAATGAGGGGTTAGAAATGCTCTGAAACACAGTAGCTTTATTCTGTGGGTTTGATGTCTGGCTGGTAAAAATTTCTTTCTTTGTGCCTGTGAATCTCTCCTCTAGTAATAGCAAAGAGATACGTTTGAAAAGTTTGGTAGCAGTCTCATGGCTCTTTACTCCAGTACTATGTACACTACTGTCAGCAGAATGAGACGCTGAAAAACGCACTAGAATTTGTCACTAGGGTCATATTAATAATTCTAGATGTATCACTTACTAGCACAATATGTAACCAACTACTTTTCTTATTTGTCTAACTGTTGCAAAAAAAAAAAAACAGAGAATTTGTCTTTTCTCCTTAGATTTTGCCCTTGAAAAAATTGTTTTTCATATTTTAGGACACCCTATCAAGTTCTCATTTTGAACATTATGGTACATTTCAGAGAAAATTCATTAATTTTGACCAGCCTCTACCAATATAATGTTTGATCCTTATAGAGGTCACATCTACAAGGCAGAGAATTTTGACATTAATTATTGTAATCATTCCTCAGGGCTTGACTCAGTTTTTCTAATAAAAGACTTAAAGATAATTTTAAAATATAATAAGTACCTTAGAGTTCTCTAGAAGCAGCCCTGAGACAAGAATATAGGTGCATGTAATTTATTGATTGGAATACTTTCATGAGAAGGTAATGTGGACAAGAGGGGAAGGCAGGGGAAGGCGCTAAAGAAGGATGAGACTCAGCTAATACAATGTTGTCTCAGAGGGTTTATGGATCCCTGAATTGCACTGCAGACAGGGTCCCACCTTGAAGTTAGGGAGCTAGCTTTTTTGCATTCTTATATCAGTTAGTCACTGCCTGAAGGGCATCCATAGAAAGAAATAAAGTCTGGCTGAGGAAACTCCCCTTAGCCTGGGGTCAGTTCCACACAGAAAGGGGCAATAGTGAACCCTTCAAAAGCACCAGTCACCATAGCTGGAAGAATGATTCAGCTGCTTAGCCAAGGGAATCTAGGTGTGACACTAATATAATCTAGTAAAGGTTACCTCTTGCACTGCTCGGATCCACTTGATTTTCACAATAAGTTTATTTCATCTGGTATTACATTGTTTTCCATTTATTTTTATTAGTTGGAGGCTAATTACTCTACAATATTGTAGTGTATTTATCTGCTATTACAGTTGATCCTGATGCCATATCTGGTATTTATACATTCCTCCCTCCACTACCCACTGTAAATTCCTCTTCCTCTTGGCTGCCTTTCCTTATTTGATAAGCCAGGCCTTTACCCCTAAGGGCTACGATGTCCCTAATATGTCATAGTTGCCATACTTGCACATTTACAGTTAAACAAGGCATGGGAGTAACAGAAGATGCCCATGTGTATCATCTCAATACCAAATACCTTTTTCCCAATAAAGATTTATATATCAGCAGCCCTACCTCTCTATTTTCATCAAGGCCAGTTATTCTGGATCTAGGGTCTGTCTGCACTGTCAGAGAGCATGTCCAAACCACTCATCACTTTTCTGTATCATCACAGGAATGTAATATTTTAGCCATTGAAGTGCTATAATATGCAAGGTTCTTTCAATACTCCAACTACAGTGTCTGGCAATCAGTAATGATGATAATGATATGGATTATGTGAAGGGCAATTTGGGGCTTAAAACAAAGTTAGCAGTGAGCAGACATTATGTTATTCAAAGGTGTTGCCTCTCGAAAATCTTGAAAGTATAAATTAGAGCTCTGGGAACACTGGTGATTAAAGCAATGGTTCTAGTGATAAACTCTGTATTAAATATATCTGTGAAAACATGAGTATAAAGTTATTTTATGAAGTGAGAAAGGTGGGGTAATCATATAAAATATATCTTATGTAACATGCTATTTAAAGAAGAGGTGGCAAGAATATACAGAAAAACTGTATAAAGAAGATCTTCATGACCCAGATAATCACCATGGTGTGATCACTCACCTAGAGCCAGACATCCTGGAATGCAAAGTCAAGTGGACCTAAGGAAGCATCTCTATGAACAAAGCTAGCGGAGGTGATGGAATTCCAGTTGAGCTATTTCAAATCCTAAAAGATAATGCTGTGGAACGGCTGCACTTAATATGCCAGCAAATTTGGAAAACTCAGCAGTGGCCACAGGATGGGAAAAGGTCAATTTTCACTCCAAACCCAAAGAAAGGCAATGCCAAAGAATGCTCAAACTACTGCACAGTTACACTCTTCTCACACGCTAGCAAAATAATGCTCAAAATTCTCCAAGCCAAGCTTCAGCAATACATCAACTATGAACTTCCAGATGTTCAACTGGTCTTAGAAAAGGCAGAGGGGCCAGAGATCAAATTGCCAACATCCGCTGGATCATTGAAAAAGCAAGAGAGTTCCAGAAAAACATCTATTTCTGCTTTATTGACTACACCAAAGCCTTTGATTGTGTGGATAACAATAAGCTGTGGAAAATTCTTCAAGAGATGGGAATACCAGACCACCTGACCTGCCTCTTGAGAAATCTGTATGCAGGTCTGGAAGCAATAGTTAGAACGAGACATGGAACAATAAACTGGTTCCAAATAGGAAAGGAGTACATCAAGGCTGTATATTGTCACTCTGCTTATTTAACTTACGTGCAGAGTACATCATGAGAAACCCTGGACTGGATGAAGCACAAGCTGGAATCAAGATTGACGGGAGAAATATCAGTAACCTCAAATATGCAGATGATACTACACTTATGTCAGAAAGTGAAGAACTAAAGAGCCTCTTGATGAAAGTGAAAGAGGAGAGTGAAAAAGTTGGCTTAAAGCTCAACATTCAGAAAATTAAGATCATGGCATCCGGTCCCATCACTTCATGGCAAATAGATGGGGAAACAGTGGAAACAGTGGCTGACTTTATTTTTCTGGGCTCCAAAATCTCTGCAGATGATGATTGCAGCCATGAAATTAAAAGACGCTTACTCCTTGGAAGGAAAGTTATGACCAACCTAGACAGCATATTAAAAAGCAGAGAAATTACTTTGCCAACAAATGTCCGTCTAGTCAAAGCTATGGTTTTTCCAGTAGTCATGCATGGATGTGAGAGTTGGATGGTGAAGAAAGCTGAGCACCAAAGAATTTATGCTTTTGAACTATGGTGTTGGAGAAGAGACTCTTAAGAGTCCCTTGGACTGCAAGGAGATCCAACCAGTCCCTCCTAAAGATCAGTCCTGTGTTCATTGGTAAGACTGATGTTGAAGTTGAAACTCCAATACTTTGGCCACCTGATGCGAATAGCTGACTCATTTGAAAAGACCCTGATGCTGGGAAAGATTGAGGGCAGGAGGAGAAGGGGATGACAGAGGATGAGATGTTTGGATGGCATCACCGACTCATTGGACATGAGTTTGAGTAGGCTCCAGGAGTTGGTGATGCACAGGGAGGCCTGGTGTGCTGCAGTCCATGGGCTCACAAAGAATCGGACAGGACTGAGTGACTGAACTGAACTGAACATGCTATTTAAATGAGTCCAAGTTACTAAGAGATATTTGAATATTCTATATCCTTAAAAATTTGTATGTTTAAGTGTGTGTGGGCTAAGTAGCTTCAGTCATGTCTGACTCTTTGCAACCCTATGGACTGTAGCCTGGCTCTTCTGTCCATGGGGATTCTCCAGGCAAGAATACTAGAGTGGGTTGCCATGCCCTCCTCAAGGAGACCTCCTGGACCCAGGGATCAAACCTACATCTCTTATTTCTCCTGCATTCTCAGGCCGGTTCTTTACCACTAGTGGCACCTGGGAAGCCCGTGTTTAAGTATGTGACATAACCTAATTGCCCAGTTAGTCATATGAAAGAAATTCATTAGTGAACAACTCTGACATAAAATGGGATTAAAAGGTGAAAAACCTAACCAATTTAGCAATTTTAAAAATCTTTATCCTATAAGATTAAATTTGAGGTGAGATACTCATGTACACACTACAATATTTTAAAAGAAATTTTCTACATTTTTTTCCAGTTCAGAGACTTGTTGTATACTTGCAACATGGTTTGCTCACATCTGCCAGCAGCTGGATTTCCAATCTTCCTAATAACAGCCTAGGCTTCCTTCTGGCAGATGCTGGTTATGATGTGTGGATGGGGAACAGCAGAGGGACTACCTGGTCTAGAAAACACTTGTATCTAAAAACAAATTCCAAAGAATTCTGGGCTTTCAGGTACAGAAAAAACTGAGTAATATTTTGTTGTATAAGTGTGTTGGACTGTTTCCTTCTTTTTGAATGAAATGAAATGAAACATAAGTGTTTTTTTCTCAACTCAGGACTCTCAATATATTAAAATTTATATAAATTTTACCTGGAAAGTTAAAGAGTACTTGTTTGATTTTGAGTTTATATCTCATTTTTAAGCAGTAAGCTTTACTGACTACCCTACTGTATTTTTTCACTCTGTCACCTGTATATGTAGTCTACTTCGCTGTTCTTAGAATATACAATCACCTTCTTTATAAAACTCTTGTGGCTATTTTATTTCCTTAACTTCGTGTTCTCACAGAAGTCTCTAGTCAATAGATAATTTTACTATCTAACTTATTGATAGTACCCAAGGAGAGTTGAAAAATGCTTTAGATATATTTACCTAATCCTTATCTTCAAATGTTAACATAACATTAGTAGAATATACATTTTTATTTTCTTTTTTCTTTTGTAGCTTTGATGAGATGGCTAAATATGACCTTCCAGCCTCCATTAATTTCATTGTGAAGCAAACCCAACAAGAGCAAATATTTTATGTAGGACATTCACAAGGCACTACCATTGGTATGGCAAGAAAGATCATTGCTGCTATTACTTTATTACACTTTCAAAGTTTGTAGATATATTCTTAAGGTTATAGGTCAGCTTCTAGACCTGTAAGTGAACCAAAGCAGAACTGTGAGACATATATCACAGAGCAGTGCCCTGGAAGGTTATATCCTGTTTTAATTCTATATAGTATTCCCTAGTCACAAAGAATTGACTGTAAAAACAAGGTTTTGTTTGTTTGCAATGTATAAAAGCTGGATATCCATCTAAATATCACAATTAAGTCATAGCTGTCATTTATTCCACAAATAGAAATTGTATAATTATTTTTCTTTTAAAAATCAAGCATAGGAAAAAAAATCAAGCATAGGGATTTATGAGTAAGAAGTTTTAAAAGGGTGCTTGGGTTTTTACATTTAGGACATAGTAAACTTAATAAATGGACAGAGATGAAGAAATCCTTCCTATATTTAAAGATGACTAGAAAAGAACTTTCATCCCTTTATAATACTTAACTCTTCTACCTAATGTGTATCAATTTTACTTTCAGAAAAATATTCCCTAAGACTTAATGTAATTCTCTTTCTTGGTACCATAAAACTTAATCTTTCTACTTTGGAAGCAGAAAAGTCTACTTTATAATAGAACCCAGTATTAAATGAGTTTTTTCTAGACTGTAGAGTATCATCTAGACTGTATTAGTCATCATCATTATCATCTAGACTATAAGTATTATCTAGACTGAAGAGTATAAGTATTTCTTATAGGAATCATCCACTTTCTACCAGAAAAATTATGTTGAATAACAATCTCTTTCCATTTCTCATAGACCTTTTCTCTGATATTTATTAACCATGTGTGAATTTTAGTCCAAATTTTCATCAGCTGTTCAGTATGGAACCAAGAATCCTAGGAAATGGCCAAATAAAAAAAATGAGTGATGTGCCAGAGCTTATCAACTTGCAGTTTGATATAATATATAATTCTTTGCTTCTTTGACTTCTCAGAACCCAGGGAAAAAAGAACCAATAAAAATAGAGGGGGTGTGCAGTTAGATAGCTTGATAAGTTATCAAAAAAGGAAAAAATTCTATTTGTCATATTAATTACTCTGAATTATCAATAAAATATAGTGTTTAGTAGCCTCTGTTCAAGAAGGCTAAGACATTTTTTTGACATTTTTAATTAAAAGTAAATATTAAAACAATTTTATATTTATTGAATTTCTCACCTAAAGTAGATTCATCCATCTGAAAAATTCACTTTCATCATTTTCACCATTGCCAGTTATACTAATGTATAATAGTAAATATTTCTGATTTTCAACTATGGTGTTATAAAAGTGATTTATTGCTGAATTAAACTCATTTATGATCTACACATTTGTTTTAGATCCTAATAATCAGCATTATGTTGTGATCAATATGCATGTCTCAGTATGTGTAGTCAATAAATGTTTGATAGATATGAAATGAATTAGTAAATTAATTATTGAACTTACTCACCATTGTCATTTCTTACATGATAGTAATTGATTAAGAATAGTTCATTTATATCTTATTTTCTTTCAGCCTTCATAACATTTTCCACAATACCAAAGATAGCTGAAAGAATCAAAGTATTTTTTGCCTTAGCCCCAGTTTTTTCCATTAAATACTCAAAAAGCCCTTTAATTAAAATGGCATACAACTGGAAGTCACTGATCAAGGTATGTTATTTCTTCCTTTTTTGTAGTTGACAACCCAAAATGACAATGATTCTCTGCTTTCAAAATAAAAGGTCTTGGCTATGTTTGCACAGCCACATGTATGATTTGAATTTTTTGGCTTCATTTACTCTGGATTCTTGCTTTTGTTTCTACACAGGTATAAGACTTTACTTATGATACTTTTGGATGATTCATTGTGTAAGAATTTCACTAATCAAATCATCTCTTTATATGGCTCTCAAATTTCATCCTTAATTTAAATGTTTTAAACTAATGTATTTGGTTGTAAATGTAGTGAACTCACCAAATCAACTTTTGATTAAATTGTTTTAGTCTTCCAAACATGAATAGAGTATATTTATTTTGCAGTTTTTTTCTGGCAGCAAAGAGTTCTTACCTAATACCTCCTTTAAAAGATTTGTTGGTTCAACGCTGTGTCCACTGAAGATTATTGATAAGATTTGCCGTGATATCTTGTTTATGGTAACTGGATATGACCTAAAGAACTTAAATATGGTGAGAACAAGTTGTATTTAAAATATATTTTGCCAATTTTTAGAAAGCAGCTTTTAATAGTGCTTATTCTATGCTTTGTGTATCATTTTATGTTTTATCTATTTATTCTTGTAGTTAGATTCTTATCCTTTCTAATTTTGTGGCTGTACCAACATTAAGAAACTAATTTGTATTAGCATGTTGGGATTTTTTTACTTCCATATTTGTCTTGATTTCTGTAAAGAACAGAGACTAGCTGCAGCTATAGTTATCTTTATTAGTCTTTGCAGTTACATGTTAGTTGTCTGGGGTTTCATGTATTTAGGTTGTCTTCCATTCACTGTCTTACATAACTCCTCCTCTTATATCCTGATTCCTAATACTTTTCCACTTCCTTGATTTTTCCATAATTAGGGTGCCTGGCAATTAACTTATATGCTTTTGGCATTCATCAAAATTCCTGGAGTGGGAAACTCTTTTGGTATTCAAGCTACTATTAGAAGGCAATCTGTATTGATTGTATATAAATTCTCTTAAAGATGCAAGGTTTTATCAGCACATTAAATTAAAAAACCCAAATTTGGAAAAACAGTTGTTTGTGGCATTTGGACTAGTTTATTGATTCTTGCACCTGGGCCTTTTAAGAAAGTTCTTAATGAGAACCAATGTATCTGTTCATAGGAAAATAGGTGTTCTTTTAATTTGTAAGCACATTTTCTTACCACAAGGATATATGTTGATATTTTTTTTTAACCTCAAGAAGGTCTTATTGCAAGTCTCAGACAATTACAGATATTTGAAAAAAACACTAATATTCCTCATAATAGAAGAAAAGAACTCCATTCTCTCCCCTTTCCCCAAAGATATGAAAAGCATAATTTTCTGTCATAGAAGATTACCTTTTTAAAAAGGCCTCTCATATTCTTCTATCTAGTGTTATATATCTACCATAGAATGTCTAGAAACATCATAAATATAATCTTTATTTCTGCTTACCTTTTTTAGTTATTCTATGTCTTGGGTTGTGTTTTTGGCTATTGACATCTTTATTATAATTATGGTGTCTTTGAGAACTCTTTTGTAGGTGGACTATTAGGAAAGTTTATATTCTAACTTCTTAGCCTTTAAATTTTTGAGTCTCCTTTCTGGGACAAAAGTTGACAGTGTCATCAATTGCAATTAATTGTGTACTAAGTTATCTAGGATTGGGAAAGTTTGAAGTGAGAAAATTCACACACAGTGTATATGGGAACAGTAAGAGTGATAGTTCAGTTTGATTCAGTCCTTTTTTTTTTTTTTTTTTGATTCAGTCCTCTTGATCCTATCAAGACTGATAGGAAAATTAGGATCTGACTTGAAATTTCTTTCCTGTAGGCAATATGAAAAACCAGAAGAGAATCTTGCAGTTTGCAGATAGGCAGTGTCTGGAATCAGGCCAATGTCACTCAGTGAACTGAAAAGAAGTTATCTTGCAAGGAAGATCAGGTAGCAAAAACTCTCATCAATGTAATTTGGATATGTCATCAAACAACCCAGAATTTTGACTTTGTCCAGTTCTTGTAATTCAGCTTATTGATTATATCTTTCATGGATTGTGCCTTTGGTACTATATCTGAAAAGTCATTGCCACACTCAAGATTGTCTAGATTTTTTCCTGTGTTATCATTTAGAAGTTTTATAGTTTAGCATTTCCCATTTAGACCTATGATCTGTTTTGAGTCAGTTTTTTGTGAAGGTCTGTGTCTAGATTCTCTTTTTTTCCCCCATGTGATATCCATTTGTTGCAACACCATTTATTGAAAAGATTATCATTTTCCTATTACATTGCCTTTGTTTTTTTGTCAGAGATCAGTTAACTGTGTTTCTAAAGGTCTATTTCTGGGCTCTGTATTCTGCTCTATTTATCTCTCTCTCCACTCTTTCACCAATACTACACTGTCTTGACTACTGTAGCTTTATATTAATAGTGTCTTGAGGTTATGTCTTGTAGTCCTCCCTTTAATAATTGTGTTGGCTATTTGGGATCTTTTGTCTCTCTATATAAACTTTGGAAGCAGTTTGTAAGTATCGTAAATATAATTTATTGAGATTTTAGTAGGGATTACATTGACCTTATATATCTTATTCAGTGATTGAAGTTCCCAGGGAGTATGTAGGCAATGCAAAACTAGGTTACAGATTGCCATGAGCACAGCTGTATTCCTGACTAAGCTTTACTTTGAGTTGAACTTTGGGACCTCAGTTTATTATGGAAAGAATTTCTTTTTAAACCTTCCCACTGTCCTCAAAAAGTCCTGGGCTGATTTTTGCTCTCCTTAACTAGTTATCTTTTTGCCTTTTCATACTGTTCATGGGGTTTTCATGGCAAGAATACCAAAGTGGTTTGCAGTTCCCTTCTCTAGGACAGGAAAGCCTGGCGTGCTGCAGTCCAGGGGGACATGACTAAGCGACTAAACTGAACTGATTTCTTAAAATGAAACTTTAAATTTTCTAGGATTGGCAGATAAACTTAAGTGACTTTAGTACATTGCTTTTCTTTTGAAATTCTCTGTCTTTTCTCTTCCATTTGTCCTGGTAATTTCTTTCTATCTTTTTAGTTCCTTAGTGCTTTCAAAAGGTGTGTGTTGCATTACTTTTGATTGTTCCCAGTATGGGTGATGGACCTCAGAACTTAGAAATCCAATAATATCTTCTACATTAATGCAAAATTTACATTCAATAAGTACATTTATGTATTTAATTTAAATATAATTTTATTTTATTAACATTATTTATTATAAATTAAATTTCCTTGAAATTTTTTAGTTTAATAATTATCAAAGACTGTTTTTTCTGGTTGGAAGAATAAAAATAATGTTTTAAACCCTCAGAGTCGTGTGGATGTGTACATGTCACAAAACCCAGCAGGAACATCTGTTCAAAATATGCTCCACTGGTGTCAGGTACACTACAATACATTTTTAAGTGTATTTTGGTAAAAAATTTTTTTAAACTACTTGCAGTTTATCTCACCATTCTAGGGATCTGGCCATTGCCATAGAATGATGAATTTATAAGGATATATTGAAATTATTAAAAATATGTATGATTCTTAAAAGTTTATAATATATGTTAATAATATAATCTATTAGATCCTCAATTTAGGCAATAAGAGGAGTACAGTTATTTTCTATTTTACAAATGAGAAAATGTTCATTCAGAACAGTAGGCAAGGGATCAACTAGGCTATGCTCATGATTTAATATGCCCATATATTTAAAACTTTTTCTTAAAAAACAAAAAACAAACAAACAAACAAAAAAACTAAGACAAGAACTCAGGTCTCTCAATACCTACTCTTTCTCACTAGATTATACTTTCTCCTTGGTTAAATTGTGAACTCCATGAAGACCATGACCAAGTTTTGTTCAGTTATCTATTGTAAAACTAAGTTTGTGGCTTATAATAGATACTCAAGAATATTTGTTGAGTGAATATTGATAAAGAAAAGTTCAGTATGAATGCCATCTTAATATTGAGAGCCAAGATAAAATAAGAATATATATGCTTGAGATCAAAATACAAGATATTGAATTCTTTCTCTAAATCTTACTTGCAGTAGGACATTAAATAAGATCATTAAATCTTTATGAATTCAGTTTCTTTAATTTTAAAAATAGAATTAATAATCATGCTCTGACCTAACAAAAATAACTATGAGAATTAAATAGGATAATGATTATGAGAGTGTCTTTAAATTTAATGAACACTAGATACATTTAAAGTGTTACTAGTATTGATAAGACACTAATGAAAGAAATCAAAGATGACATGAACAGATGGAGAGATATTCCATGTTCCTGGGTAGGAAGAATCAATATTGTGAAAATGACTAAACTACCAAGTACAATCTACAGATTCAATGTGATCCCTATCAAATTACCTACATTCTAATATGAGATATACAGACTGTAAACAACAAGCATAACAAATAAGTAAATTGTTAAAATAGTAGATGATGATAGAAGCTATGAAAAATAGGAGGAGAGGACCAGAGAGAAAAGATTAGGTATGCCAGGATTCAGTTGTCTACCTGAATAGGGAAGTTAGATTGAGCCTCAGTGAGATGGTAACATTTGAAAAGATTTAAAGGAAGTGAGAAGGTTAGCAGTGTGAACATGTGGAGAAAGAATATCCAGATGGTAGGCTCACAGGTGGAAAAGCCGTTAGTCAGGAGCAGTTCTGATAGGCACAGTTAAAGGGCTAGTGTGGCTAACGTGAGTGATTCCAGAAGAGAATAGTAGAAAACAGGGGCGAAAAAGTAAGAGGGAGTCACAAAAGAACCTTTGTGCCACGGTAAGGACTTTGACATTCTGTATCAAGTGAGTTAGCCACTGCAGGTTTTTGAGAAGGGAAGTGACTTACTATGATTTACACTGAAATGCAGAAAGGCAAAATGGTTGTCTAAGAAGGCCTTATGAATAGCTGAGAAAAGAACCTAAAGGCAAAGGAGAAAAGGAAAGATATACCCATCTGAATACATAGTTCCAAAGAAGAGCAAGGAAAGATAAGAAAGCCTTCCTAAGTGATCAGTGCAAAGAAATAGAGGAAACAATAGAATGGGAAAGACTAGATATCTCTTCAAGAAAATTAGAGATTCGAAGGGAATATTTCGTGAAAAGATGGGCACAATAAAGGACAGAAATGGTATGGACCTAACAGAAGCAGAAGACATTAAGAAGTGGTGGCAAGAATACACAGAACTATACAAAAGAGATCTTAATGACCCAGATAACCACGAAGATGTGATCACTCAGCTAGAGCCAGACTCCTGGAATGTGAAGTCAAGTGGGCCTAAGGAAGCATCACTACAAACAAAGCTGGTGGAGGCAATGGAATTCCAGCTGAGCTATTTAAAATCCTAAAAGATGATGCTGTGAAAGTGTTGCACTCAATATGCCAGCAAATTTGGAAAACTCAGCAGTGGCCACAGGACTGGGAAAGATCAGTTCTCATTTCATCACAAAGAAAGGCAATGCCAAAGAATGTTCAAACTACCACACAATTGCACTCATCTCAGTTCAGTTCAGTTCAGTTACTCAGTCATCTCCAACTCTGTGACCACATGAACTGAAGCAAGTAAGGCCTCCCTGTCAATCACCAACTCCCAGAATTTACTCAAACTCATGTCCATTGAGTTGGTGATGTCACCCAACCATCTCATCCTCTGTTGTCTCCTTCTCTGCCAAATCTTTCCCAGCATCAGGATCTTTTCAAATGAGTCAGTTCTTCGCATCAGGTGGCCAAACTATTGGAGTTTCAGCTTCAGCATCAGTCGTTACAATGAATATTCAGGACTGATTTTCTTTAGGATGGACTGGTTGGATCTCCTTGCAGTCCAAGGAACTCACAAGAGTCTTCTCCAACACCACAGTTCAAAAGCATCAATTCTTCAGTGCTCAGCTTTCTTTA